AAGAACACCTGGATAGAGTGAACTAGGCTGAGAATTGAGGTACTGAAGGCATTTTCATATGATAAACTGAGAAAGGAGAAGCCAGTAGGAATTCCAGAGGAAAATAATTCATATTGGAGTGACACACAGTTGTTCCTTCTTTTCCATTGCTATCCCGTCCACTTTCAAAGTAGGTAGCAAAGGAAATCCATTATAGTATGTCAACAACCTCAGTCCACCACTCCTACACTGCACTGACTGCACTTCAAAAGTAATTCATTGGATGCAATACTCTTTGAGGTGAGTGGTGGTTTTGATAAGCACAATGTAAATATAATTTTTTTTATTCCTTGTTTTGGGACTATACCTTTTCTTTGTTAATTATAACACACTTACTTTCTTACAGGAGGAAGAGAGATGGTTGATGTAATTACGCCCAGAACTTTAAACCAGCAGTAATTCTCATTTTACTAATTAATCCATCCTGCTTGAAGTGGAATGGATAGATATTGTTTATTTTTCAGAAATTGGATATACTGAATGCTTGGATGAACCTGTTTGCAGACTTTCAATGTCGCAGCACAGTGATGGATGAGGCATCCTCAATCCTTCAAGCCATTCATAAACAACACATCTTGGCATTGGAGAAGTACTGTGAAACCATTAAATGTATTGGGTATCAGGAATTTTAATGCAAAAAAAAAGACTGTTAGTAACTTTGAGAGAGTAAACAGAATTTTGAATTTGGACAAACTTACACAGAGATATAGCAAATTTCTAAAATGAGTTATTAAGTCACTTTAGTAAAAACGTGGGTCATTAGGGCAGGTGGAACAAATGAACCGGACGACAAACAAAGGCTCACTAAGCAGCACCAAGAGGGAATGCCCTGGCTACAAGCCCTGTCAATAGTACTATGCAGCATCTAGGCAACCCCCAATTGGACAACTGGACTAAGTCCTTTTGAAGTCATCACTGGAAGGCCTGTGTTGCTGCCAGGAACAACTGATTTATGGAAAGCCGGTTGCCACTTAATGAGTGATGCTCCGTTGAAGTATTGTCAAGACCTAATGAATGTTGACAGGTCTGCTTCCCAACAGGTATCGGCCTCTTGAGGTGACCCTCCCAAAGAAGGATGCAATATCATCCTGGGAACATGGGTCTTTGTCAAGAAAGTCCATAAAGACCTGCTAGGAGCCAAGTGGGAAGGACCCAACCAAGTGCTGCTGACCACTCTAGCAGCAGTAAAAATCCAAGGGAAGAAAACATGGATGCACGCATCATACGTATAAAGAACCACAAACAGTTAAAGTTAAAGTATCAAGAACTGTTGCATTTAGCCCAAGTTGGAGAAATTGATTATATTACTAACTGTATGTATTTTGAGTGTTTGCTTATTAGTAACTTGCCTAGCCCTGCACCAGAAGGAATATGAAAGAAAAGGGAATTGCACCTAATATCTTTTTGTACATCTTGTACACCTATGCCAAACGAGCTAATGTTTCTAGTTGTTGGATTTGCTCCCACATTCCCACACAATCCAAAGTGGGTATCCCCTTAAGACCTATCTCTTTTAATGTATCTGAAAAGGCAGAATGGGTAATTCACGAGAACACCTCCTCGGAGGAACTGGCACAACTGGCATAGCAGTCCTCAGCAAGGACAGGGGTATATTGGATGTGCATGGCTGATGCCCACACGCAATGGGAGTCAGCAGGTTACAACCTGGCACCCTTCAGAGGTGGTATCTGCCTAATTACAACACCTCACAACAACCCCACTTGTGACCCTTGCTAACACCTCTGGAATAGGGTGACCAGAGGGAGGGATATGTTTATGTAGAACCCAGACAGGAGAGCAGACAATGGGATACAGCAAGTGTTTCCAATATTGGAATGTAACCCAGGGCACTGATCCCACCCTACTGTCATTCCAAGACCTCACCAGCAAAGGTACTTTCCAGCAAAGGTGGTATCCCGAGATAATAACTAGGGTTACTCCTTACAGTAGCACTTAATTTGTGTGCGGCCACAAGGCCTACGCCCAGTTACCCCCATCATAGACCAGATCATGTTACTTGAATTATGTCATCTCCTTTGTCCATCATACATTCTCCATGTCCGAAATATACAATGAGCAAAAGTTTAAGAGAGCTATCACGGAAACTGGCAAGGGAATCCATTAACATGGCAGCTGTCCTAAAACAGGTAGCCAATGATACATCCCAAGCTTTAGATAAGATTAGCGCTGAAATAGTGGCCATCCAGAAAACAGCTTTGCAGAACAGTATCACCCTTGATTCGATATCAGCAGAGAAAGGAGGCACCTGCGCTCTGATCAGAGCAGAGTGCTGTATCTACATCACTGACAATTCTGAGGGAATCACTGACCTTGCAAGAAAGAAATGGATAAACTAAAACAACCCCCAATCCTCCACTCTGTGGAGTTGGACAATGAGCTGGTTGGAATCCTTAGGAACCTCCCTGGTTCAGGGTATAGTGTTATTCGTTGTTGTAATTCTAATTTTCATACTGTTTGTTTTTGTTAATCAAATGTTGTTGCCAACAAGTGGCTTCTGCACAGCCCTGCAGGTTAGGCTCCTGAAAGATAAGCAACCTGTGAGGCAATCATTCTTGCATAGAAAGCCTATCTTGTATGTGTAACTATGTACTTGCATGCTTTGTGAATCACTTAAGGGGCAATCAAAGGGGGTTTGTTAGGGCAGCCCTTGACAGAGTGGCACAACATGGCCAACAACTGCCCTAACTAACTCTGCAGAATATGGCTGACAATAGTTAAAGCATATGGGAAAATACTTGCTTAATGTAGTCTCAGCAAGTCGAATAATAGCAGGTCTGTTTAATCAAGGTTACTGTCTTAAATGAGATAGAATATGCAGCTGGCAAATGTTATCTATTGTGAAAAGCTTCAAGGAGAAAGATAAGAAAGTCTGTGAAAACATCATGACCAGGCCTGGACCACCAGCGTGTCCATTTCTTTAAAATGATGTACCAGACAGCCAATCACAGAAGAATAACCCAGCTCAACTGACCAACAGTATCAAAAGGGGAGTCATGTGCGCTCTTAAGTTTTAACTGTATACAATATGAAGTTTTCGTGTGCCTTATTGCAAAGAAAATCTGAAGCTGTAACAAAGTTGTACCAAAATAAAGTTGTACCTGAATCTACCACCGAATCCGGACTCTCATTGGAAAATACAAGATCTAACAGGGAGGGACAACTAATGATGATTTAAAGTGAAGATCACCATCCAAAAATGAGGGGCAAGGTTGAGAAGGTGGGTAACTTCAACCAGTATGGAAATAAAACCCATGCTGTTGGTATCACCTGCATCACAAACCAGTTGTTCAGCCAATTGAGCTAACCAATCTCCAATAAACAGTAACCAAAAACTATAATGACATCAAAGGATATGGAGATGCTTTGGAATCTGACTTGTCAGTAATTCCATCAGTTGTTGTCCTAACATTGTCTATTGAAATAGTGTATAGTTGGTGCTGGTTTTACGTTGT